TTTCAGCATTGATCATACAAAAGAAGTTGTTGAGAGAAGAGTCTCCTGAGAAAGATACTATATAATAGTATAAGTCTTGATTATAGGCTGCACATTATAAAGTGCACTTGATTTACTAGTCACCCTTGTGCTGTGTGGGGACTGCAAACTGGTCTCCTCTAGGATGGGTTGGTTCTGTTGTGTGTTGTTCTGCTGTTTGTTGTGTAGTCGCCACAATCTTAGAAGGCCCAGAAGTTCCAGTGCAGTTTTGGATGCTATCTCTGAGTTCGGACAGTTGGTGAGAATGGTTAACAAGGGTGCTATTTACGTGAGACAGATACCCATCAGACTGCTTCTCCAGCTCTCCTCGAATTCTCTCTAGGTCATCGGACAGGTGTGCTAGGCCTCCACACTGACCCTCCACACGGGCAACACGACCTCCGACTTCGGTCACTTCCTTCTGGACACCGAGGGCAGTGGAGCGGCAACCCTGTAGCTCTCCAGCAACTTTACGTCGCAGATCGTGGAGTTCCCCCTTCAGACGGGTCAGCTTTCGCTCCCCAGTACCCAACATGGAAGCTTGTCGTCCCACCAGCTGAACCACTCCTTTTACCTGCTGGGCAAGCCTTTCCTCTCTTTCCTGCCAGGTAAGGTTGGTGTGGCCGACCTCTTTGATCACAGAGCCAAGAGAGTCTTGCAAGCCACAGATAGACCTGTTAACAGAGTTCACAGTGACCTTAAGTAGGGTCACCTCTCCTTGAAGATCCACCTCCTCCTGTTTCTTTGCTAACTGTACAAGAAGATTATATAGAGTGGCATTGAGGTTGTTTAATTTCTGCACTTGTAAATCAAGTTTCTCATTCATTTCTTTAAGGTTGTCTTCGTGTTTGTCCTCATCGGTAGCCAATGGAGCTGCATATCCTGTTAGAACAGGCTGTGGAACACAAGCTGAAGTACAAAGAACCTCCATGGATTTGAGCTGTTTCTGTAGATGGTCCAAATCATCCTCAACTCTTCTTCTTAACAATTCTACCTCTGTTTCCAGTGAAGGAACAGCTTGACCTTCGAGTAAAGTTGGTGCTGTGACATTACCGAGCTCTTCTACTGCTGCCAAGAGACGGGTTTCAAGAGCTTTAATCTTCCCTTCCAATTGCACCTCCAGGTTATCAGGCTCACTTTTGTTAATGTTTGTTTCCTCTTGATTGAATGCAATATTCAATTTGGATTCCACATAAGCCAGTCGGCCTTCCAACATGCCATCTATATGGTCCTTGTGTCCACCAATTTCAGCACGTAGGTGTGTTTGGGATTCATTCAAACCTTCCACTGACTGCTCCATATAAATGACCCTTTCAGTTAGACCTGATATGGCAATGCAGCAACCCTCTTCAGGCTCCAGGTCTTGAAGCTGAGCCTGCAGCTTTTGTAGTTCTGCCCTCAATCTTTCAGCCCTTATGTCTAGGACTTGCTCAATCTGATCTTGTCCATCTAAACTTTCCTCTTTGCATTGGAGTCGCACCTCTGCCATTCGACTCTCGCATCGCTCCTCTGCACTTTCCACTCGTTTTTCAAAGCCATCTAATATGGTGACCCGAGCTTCACTCATTTTGGACTCCACCATTGTTTCCAGGGCCTTTTGGATTTCAGTTTGATTAAGGTTCACTGACCCACCTGATAGTCTTTGAAGGGTGGTGTTTTGACTCACAACTGCTCCTCTCAATTTTTCCAGCTCAGATGACTTTGCCACAAGTTCTGCTCGCAGCTCTGTAACCTTTTCAGTTAAATCGACCAAGTTTGGAAAGTGTCCCACCACATCTGATCCCTCAATATCCGGTGCACCTCCAGGTAGATCTCCAAAGCCCACAGTAGAGTCTCTAGACAAGGAAGGAGCAGAGATAGGGCTGGGTGCTGCAGAAATCAGGGCAGTTAACATCCTATTGGCATCTTCACGAAGGGAAGCACGCAAGCTGTCCTCCAAACCTGTCACTGTACCTCGGAGAGTCTCAAGACCAAGAGAAAGTCGTTGCACATCCTCTTCTATCCTGTCCAACCGCTCATCTTCAATATTGTTGTCATCATGTTCTATAAATGAATTACATTTATTTAATTACTTATGGCACATTGAAGGCTTTATTTTGTACAAACAAATACAGATTCTACTACAACTGTTTATATTAGAGAGAGAGAGTGTAACTACAGTATAATAAATGGTTCATTTACCTTGGTTTGTTTCACTCCCACCAGAGGGCACTTGTGCATTGCGAATAGGCTCTGTCTCACTCTCTACTGTTGTGGAAGTTTGATGATCTGGCTGAGGATCCTGGTAGTCAGTAACTGGTTCATTCTCTTCTGGGATTATATCATGGCCAAGGTCTTGAGGTTCAATCACGGGTTCAGGATAATCTACTTCCGGTTCCTGGTGCTCTGGGTAAGATTCAATTGGAGGATCTTGGGAGGACGGCCCAGTATTAGGAACTGGATATCCAATTATGCCATTAGTTGGAGCTTGAGGCTGAATCCAGGGGTTTCCATTGACATTGGGATGGGGATACTGTCCTTTATATGAAGGTATGTGTCCCTTTTGAGATGCATTTGGACGTTTATAAGAGGGCATTGGACCTTTCTGTGCAGACATAGGCCTTTTAAATGAATGCACTGGACCCTTCTGCATTGGCATCGGTCCTTTAAATGAAGGCATGGGACCTTTCTGCATAGGCATTGGACCTTTAAATGAAGGCATTGGACCTTTCTGCATAGGCATTGGACCTTTAAAGGAAGGCATAGGACCTTTCTGTATAGGCATTGGACCTTTAAATGAAGGCATAGGACCTTTCTGCATTGGCATGGGCCCTTTAAAAGGAGGCATAGGACCTTTCTGCATTGGCATGGGTCCTTTAAAAGGAGATGAGGGACCTTTCTGCATATGCATAGGCCCTATAAAAGGAGGCATAGGGCCTTTTTGCATTGGCATTTGTCCTTTAAAAGGAGGCATAGGACCCTTTTGTGCAGGCATTGGTCCATTGAAAAGGGGCCTTGCTTTCATTCCATATCCCTCAGTACAACCGACACCTGTATATCCAGGACAGCACTTCCATTCCAGCTCAGTTACAGTTTTATATGCAACTTTATACATTGGTTTGTAATACATACGATACCTGCAAGAACAGACAGGATGTGCAAATCAGCTAAATGTCACAAATATGCATTTTTTAACAAACATTAATTGTATGTATGCATTAATTATCATACTTTGTAGTTGGGCATTTCTGACCCCAAGCACACTTCATTGCCTTCATGAAGGGAGCTGCTCCATCCTGAACAGTGAACGAGACAGTCTTCTCCACAACATATGCACAGTGGTTCCTAAGAAGAGACAAGTTTGAGGCAGTGAGAATTAAACATGTAACAAGGACAACATAAAATGAAGTGCTACGGATAATGACAGTATGTTTTTTGCTAAATAGCTAAATAGCTAAGATAAACAACATTTTTACAGCAACTAATTATATTTAGTTAAAAATTAGTTATTAGATAATATTAAATAGTTAATATTTACATTTTTACAAAGATATTAACATTGGTTTATGATTCTACTTGTAACAATAAACAATTTATACAATATTACTATGAAAAAATACAATCCTCCTAAAAATAATTATGCAAAAAAATTAATAATTATTAATAAAACGAATTTTCAAACTTTTTTTTTAACTTGATTCACCAATATTGAGAAAAATTACAATTGTAATAACCACCTATGTCAAATGAATGAATGAATATTCACAAGACTTGTAACACAGGTAAAAAGTTCAAATTTAGTATCAGCAGTATATTGGCGTACAGATGTCTTTCAATGTGTTATTAACATTCCACTGCTGTTTTGCCTCCTGATTTATTAATTAAGAGAATAATCATTTTACTCATGGATACTTACTTGTGCCTGGCCGTTGGTTTCTCCGAGTTAGACTGTGGTTGAGGTCCAGAGTAGAAACTATATAGATTTGCAGCTGGGTGAAATGCTGTCACAGTCAAAATAAAACTCCAAAGGAGAAGAAAACAATGCAAAATCTTCTCCAGTAGCATGATTTTTGTAAATATTCAAAACTCAGGTGAATAACAAAAAAATGGAAGAGGAAATACTTCTATTGCTCCAAAAAAATCTACTCCAAAAACAGAGCACAGACCTAAAAATTGATATATGTTAAAGTTTGTCTTTCCATGTTGGGTCTTTGTAAATATAGCAAAATCTAAATGTCTAAAAAAGACACTGTGCTCCAGCTGTGGTAGTGATGCTGAGATTCCTGCAGACTGCTGGAACTGAGAGTCCTGGACACCTCATAAAACACTGGACCACCTCATTTACATGGACCCACCCTCTATACCACCTAACACAATTTACACAAAGGCGCTATTTTTAAGGCCTGACCCAAACAGTACAACACTGATGCTCTGAAGTTTTGAACAAAAAATTACTACTCTTTAGTCTCACACCAAGGACAATAACTTTAAATATGACTATCCACTTTAGTGGAGAATAATGTTCTGTTTATTATAAGCTTAAACAGTAGTTCTGTTGTCTAGAGCTGTAAAGGGGTAGTTCACCCAAAATTACAATTCTGTCATCATTTACTCTCCCTCTACTTATATGGTTCTATTTTGAAGAAAGTTGGAAACTGTTTTTCTTACTGTGGATGTTGATGGCTAACAGTTTCCAACATTCTTCAAAATATATTATTTTGTGTTGAAAATGAATGAAAAAAAATTAATGGAAAAAAAAGCTCATAGATGTGTTGAAGCACTTTATAGTCTCTTTAAACAATCTTTAAAGTAAAATAGAATCCAATTGGCTGTCAGTGTTTTTTATTGTTCAATAGCTGTTCCTCTGTGTTTTTGTTATTTTAAAGATGTTGTGGGTTCCATAAGGCTAATAAATCCCATTTAGAAATCTGCTACAATTCATATTTGGGTTTCACATATATAAAATAGATGTCACATATGCAATATATATTGCAAAAATGTCAGTTTATATATATATTTTTCAACCATGGAAATTACAATAAATACAATTATACATATAAACACATAAAATGTTTGCTTACATATTCAAACATATTTGTACATATCTGTTGAAATGAATATATTCACTACCGGTCAAAAGTTTGCTCACCAAGTTTGCTCATCAAGGCTGCGTTTATTTAATCAAAAATACAGTAAAAAAATGAAATGTGAAATTTTATTGCGCTATAAAATCAATGTTCAAAAATAGTTTATAATTTAATATAATAATATTTTCCAGTGATTTTAAAGATGTATTTTCAGCTTTATTGCTCTAGTCTTGACCTTCAGACCCTTCAGAAATCACTCTAATTTTATTACTATTATTATTATTATTATTATTATTATTATCAATTTCTTTGGCACAATTTTTTCAAAACAGTCTTAACATTCTCTAAACGGTGAGTCCAAATTCCAAAACAGTCATGACAGTCAATCATGGAAATTAAGGTTTTAAAAAATCTGATATTTGTTAAGAACAGTGAATAGTATATAGAAAAATTAAATAAATGAACATTTGTATTTATCAGTCTTGGGGAGTAACTAGTTACATGTAACGGCGTTATGTAATTTAATTACAAAATAAAAGTAACATTAATTTGTTACAGTTACTGATAAAAAATGTACAATTAAATTACAGTTACTTGTGTAACTGTTAAAGATTACAAATGGGGTGACATCTAAAAATTTTCTTTAAAAATATGGGATATGTTGATTGATATTAATCTGTTGCTTTGCCTGTTTTTGATGTACACGATGCCTTTTAAAATCTTGGTGGCCATCCTGTCACTATTGTTGGCCTTGCCAGAGATTACACGTCTTCCAATTGCATGCTACTGCAGTTTAGGATTGTGAATGTAGTGTATATGTAGTGATAACTATATATAGTTTGCATATATAATTTGGTAGTATATGATAAATAGATAACGCAAATTGTATTGCAACTAGAGGTCATTTACCAAATTTATCAGACATTACAAACAATGTTAATATCAGATTTTTATGGTGTTAATACAAATGTTTGATGATTGAATGAACATTGTTTTGAGTGTGATGGCTTACACAATGCAAAATGACTGAGCAGTTGTGAAGAGTTTGACAATTTAAATAAGAACTGACTTATTAGTTTTGATCAATAAGCCATATGCAATTAGTTTCTGACCAAACTAAAGACAATTGTACTTACTGTTTGCACACATGTGCCAAAGCATTTGCAATATGCTTAAATCAATAAGAAATGCCACTTTTCAGTAAACAACAAGCTAATTATTCAAAGATCTATACTTTTTGTTTAGAAACAAAATCAATCAAGAATTGAGCCAAAGTAATTAAGAAAAACTAATGGTAATAGTAATAAAATCAATCCTGACTGGAGTAATAATTTCATTTAAAAATGTACAATAAGTTATAAATGAATATTTAATTTAAAAAGTATTTAGCAATTAAATAGTTTTTTACATTTAATAAATGATGAACAGAATAATAAAAAAACATGAAAAAAGCTGACCCAAAACCTTATATATATATGTGTGTGTGTGTGTGTGTGTGTGTGACCATTTTTGACGTACTTTGCATTTTATATTTTATTTATGTGAAATCCAAATATGAACTATTTTACGAGCTCTTCAGGCATTATGACCTATTTTAAAAGCTCTTGCTTTCTAAAATAAACAGATATATCCTTAGACTACTGATGTGGTTTGATGTGATGTCTAATTATTGGCTATTTTCTAACACTAAATGAGATAGAAGCATATGGCAGATCAACATATGGACTAACAAGCTGTAGGCAACAGTCACTTGTTCACACACAAACACGGCCACACAGCCATATGGAACAAATACAGTTTCACTCAGATAAACACTGAGAGTTGGATTGTAAATACTAACAATTACATGTCAATACCAAAACAGGTCTAATGAAAAATATATTTAGAGAGTGTTTCCTGCTCTCCATGTTTGCCCCGTGTAGGATTAAGAGCAAAGCTGAACAAACAAACAGTCATTGAAGTTAGCGCTCCTCTCTCTTTTTATTGCTGGTACATCCGTTCACAGCACTTGTACCCATGGCAGTGGTCAAAACTGTGGTTGTGTTGCAATCCTTTAACTACAGGTCTGTGGATGAAGTGAGAACTCCAAACACACTTTACTACTCATAGACCTTAATTGTGCATTGGCTAAAAAAGCCACCCAATCACAAACCACCAGCAAACACACACACCACCGCAAGACTCTCTTCAAAAATCCCAGCAAGGGCGAAACACACCATGCCTTTGTTTGGTTGCAGTGGCTAATTAGCCGACAGTGTTTACCCTGTTTCCAGGAGCTGTGCTGCCCTAATGTAGAGGGTCAGGAATCTGTATAAGCAGGCTCATATTTGCACTTTTCCGAATTTGCAAAAGCCCTGCCGATGTGGTTATATACATTTGGAATAAAGAAATCAGTCTATATTGTTTGTGTACGTTACTCTTTTGAGGATCAGACAGCTGAACTGTATAATAAACAGAATGACTGATAAAATGTTTTGTGAAAAATTTTTTAAACTATGAGCATATATTAGGAGTAGAGATGCCCAAACTAAGGCCAAAGTTGGCCCATGGTAACCTTTGATTTAGCGCGCCTTCCCATCTGAGAAGAAAGAGAGAATGATGGGTTTGCTATAGAGATTGTCATTTAAGATTAAATCGCAACCTTTATTTTTTTTTTATTAAGCTACAAAAAAACTTAACTGAAATAAATGTTTTAATTTACATTCTGTAGTTTAGACTAAAATGTAGATACTGTCACCTGATGGATAGAGGACAATGCAGAGGCTTTGGTGAGCAAATCAAGGCAAGGCAGATTCTGCTTGACTAGTGTATTTATTCAGCATTGAACTCCACTCAGTTATAAATGGCATTGTTTTGATTGCAGTAAATTAGAATTAAAGTTATTGTACACATTGTAAAATAAATTAGTAATTTACACATGTCAACTTTAATGTATAATAGTTTGGTATATTTATCTTTGGCACACAGCTCTCAATGATATTTTGTTTTTGGCCTTCATATGAAAAAGTTTGGGCACCCCTGATTTAGAATGTCAGCTTTAATGCTTCAAACGCCTTTTGTTGCAAATATTTTGAATGTGTGAATTAATCTATTGTCTTTTAGCGAAACAAATATTTATCTAAAAATCAAACAACTTACTTATACTGATCTGTACTTAACAAAATAGATAAAAGAAGAATTAAGTAAAAAGAGACTTATTCTGACCTGTACTTAAAAATTAATACCTGTTTTAAATATTAAAAAATGCAGCTTTAATAAAATAAGTTTAAAAGTGATATTTTCGTTGATTTATCTGTTAATTGTTTTTTTTTTTTACATATTACATTCTCCAAATTTGTAAAAAAAAATATATATATATATATTCTTGGTATATATTCTTGGTCAGGTAAATAAAATGATCCAATACAACTTGATCCAATACAGCAAAACATATTTAAATTCTTTTCATTGTGTACAAATCTTTCATTAATTTTCCTTCGGCTTAGCCCCTTTATTCATCAGGAGTCGCCACAGTGGAATGAACCACCAACTTATCCAGCATATGTTTTACATAGCGGATGCCTTTCCAGCTGCAACCCAGTACTGGGAAACATCCATACACACTCATGCACACCCATACACTAAAGGCTAAAGCTAAAGGCCAATTTAGCTTACCTAATTCACCTACGCCAACATGCACCAACATGCAAACTCCACACAGAAATGCCAACTAACCCAGCTGGGTCTCGAACCAGCAACCTTCTTGCTGTGAGGCAACAGTGCTAACCACTGGGCCACCGTGTTGTCCCATTGTGTACAATCTTTTTAGATAAACTGTATCTATCATTAGAATTCAGCTTATTCCATTAATGTTCCCAAAGAATTCCAATTGCAGGCCCGTAGCCAGGGGGGGTTTGGGTGATTTGGAAGACTGCCCCTTAATAACAAAGTGCAGAATTTGGCCCCTATATAAGCTCATTTGTCTCATTTTTGACAGTATGCCATCATAAATTGTGAAAATAACCGATAGAAGAAGGCTTTAAGACAAGTTTTTAATTATTCAATTTTACAAATTCTGACTGCAAAAATGAGCTAGTCAGTTTGTTATTCACCTACAGGCTACAGTTTTTAATATGTTTTTAGTTAGTTTTTAAAAAGTTTTAACAGGCTCCTAATGGGTTTTTTTTTAGGATGCATGACAATACATTAGTATTTTAAAAATA